AGCCAAGACTAATTGCAGCAAAACACGCTGTAAATACCAGCTCTGAGGAGGGAGAACAAACCCGAGTGCATGAACATCAAGCACTGGCTTGGAGAGGAACCTCTGTGGACACCAGCACCTCCAAGGGCTGTAAATAAGGAAATCCTGGTGTCCTCCAGCATTGCTGTGCTCCATAGCCTGGTCCTGCAGCTTGTTCACCTGTATGTGCATGGCTTGAAGGAGAGCTGAGGACACAGGAGACAGCCTCAGGGTCCTGTCCCAGTGCTTCTGCTGGCAGAATAAGGCCACACACTGTTTATATCCTGGCTTTTTTTGGATTCAAAGAAGCAGAGAAGGAGCAGAATCAAAAGATTTGCTAAAGACTATGAAGACAGGCGGAGAGCTGGGGTTGCTCAGCCTGGAGAAGAGAAGATTCCTTAAGAGAAGACCTTAGAGCAGCTCCAGTGCCTAAAGGGGCTGCAAGAAACCTGGAGAGGGGCTTTGGACAAGGGTCTAAAGGGACAGGACAAGGAGAATGGCTTTAACCTGCCAGACTGGAGATGGAGCTCAGCTCTTAGGCAGAAGCTCTTCCTTGTTACGGTGGTGGGACACTGGAATAGGTTGAATGGAGAAATCTGTGGCTGTGTTCAAGGCCAGGCTGGATGGGGCTTGGAGCAAGCTGCTCTAGTGAGAGGTGTTCCTGCCCGTGGCAGGGGTTGAAACTGGATGAGCTTTAAGCTCCCTTCAACACAAACCAGTCTGGGATTCTGTGACTTCAAGCAGAACTCACCAGGAATTCCTATGTAGGAATTCATCAGCCAGACAGAAAGATGTGACAGTTATTGTGATGCAAAGGCTGATTAAACCCTCAGGTTTATATTCTAGAGGAAGCTAGGCTATAAATGTGCTTTTGTTTCAGTCTTTATAGGCAGCTTCCTACACACCTCTGCACAAAACAAAGCCCTTTTCCAGCTCCCCAGGGAAACCCAGCCCCTGGCTTACATCCTTGCTCAGCCTACACAGTGTTCACCCTCTGTATTACAGGTTCCTTGAAACCCAAACCAAGAAATTAGATTAAAAGGTGGGGGAATCCAGGAAGCAACAGGTCCCCAGGTCTATCTTCTCCCAGCGCCTCGTAGTTGGCTGATAAATGAAGGAAGAACAATTCTGGGGATCTGGCCTCAATTCTTGGTGCTGGGAATGTTGAAGAAAGAAGGGAAAGTCAAAAAAGGCCCTAAGAAGGGGATAAGGATAAATAAACCCAAACAGAATGTGAGAAAGCCCCACACGTGATGCAGCAGAACATGAGTCCAGAACCAAATCCATCTCGGAGATCCTCTGCTAGCACATGCTACAAAGCCCAGCACCACTGGAGCCTTTTACTAAACCAGTTTAAAACAGTTCCATCATCAAGAGGCAGCAGCTGGTTCCGGGTGAGGATATGCCAGTTCCTCCTGCCTGCCTCACCACATGAAACCAGCCCAAGGAGGATGGAAGGAGGATTTGGTTTCTTCCTCCCAACCATCACCCATCCACTTCCTCTCTCAAACTTCCTTATCTTTCCAAAAGGGAGAGGGGAATCTTCTGCCTGCCCCATGCCACGTCCACAAACTCCATTCAAGAACAGTGCTTCCAAGATAGGCCAGACTAGGAATCAGCAACCAGCTTAAAATGAGTAACACCACTCACAACGTACCAAGGTGGGCTCAGCAAGGCTCAAGAGCAAGTTCATTTTCACCTGACACCTCCATAAATCACAAAGAGAAGGAAAGAAATCAGAGCACAAAATACATACGGTGGGAAGTGCCGGAGAAAACTGGGAACTAAGGAACCTTAGGCAACAGAAATGGAAGCAATAAATAGAGATTAATGTTAGAAGTCCCCCTCAGTAGGGAAGAGTAAAGCTACAGCAAAAGACAAATGGCAAGTGGGAGGCTGAATGTGTTCACCAAGTCTGTGTAAAGCTTTTCCTCCTAATCCGAGCAGACAGAGAGCAGGGAGGGGAAGTCTCACTGCAGAGCATGGCCAGCTCCAAGCTCTTGGGTATCAGAAGGATACTGGCAAATTGGAAGGCATTCAGGAAAATCCAGTGAAGCAGCTGGAGGGATTGATTTACAAGGAAAGATTAAAATAACTGGAGGCCTGGCTTGGCTAAGCAGTAACTGAGGTGGCCATGATGATGTTTTACAGTTAGCTGACAGGCAAGTGCCAAAAAGCAGAGGAAGTGTTGAACGCCCCACACTTAGGTAGAACCAAAGCACTGGCAGGTATTTAGGGTAACTCATGGCTGCATTCAAGCTCACAAAGCAGTGAGGTCTATCGGGTACTAAAATAGCCTCCCACTTCTCACTTCCCAAGCAGCTTCTAGGAGCAGAAAGAACACACTGAGAGAAGCCCAGGAATCCCTACAAGCCTCCCAGGCTGATTCCCAACTCACTGCTTCCACCCTGAACCCGCACCTCTGCTGTTAGTTTTTAACACCAAGAGCAAACAAGAAGCCCAGCCCACAGAGGGCCTGCAGTTGGCAACCCCACTCCTGTCACCAAAGGTGAACATGATCTCTTGCTTTAAGGAAATGAGGAGTAAGGATGTTAACCCTCCTTGCTTTCCAAACGGGAATCTGGCTGCTCAATCCACCTCCCACAAGCTTCTCCTCCACATTCAAACAGTGAAGTTATTCTTAGGCTCTGCTGAGAAAACCCCCAATCCAAAAGCATGCAACAAAGCCCGTGGTTAAGAACTGCTGCATTCCTCTCCAGAACCAACTCCAGTTTAGGCACCACTGCTTTAAAAGCAGTTTGCAAGAACCAGATGAGTCCTTCAGACCACTCCAGGTGGAAAAAGTTCCTGCCCCACAAGCACAAGCGAGGCAAAATAAACTGGGAAGCCCAATGAAGCATTAGTGACACTTTCCTGTTGTACTCTTCGATGTTAACCTGAAATGTTGGCTTTAGAGGGACCTGAGCTGGGGAAAGAGTGGTAACTTCATAAGGAAAGGTAATGATGGGGCTTGGTAAAGAGGCAGCAAATGGGCAAAGCAGAGCAGAACAAGGAAGTTTTGTTGTCACACACACTTCAGCACACACCTGAACCAGCTGATCTCTTTGCCTCAGCTGAGGGACTCCAAACCAGCACTTCTGGCAGTAGGAACAACCCAGCTTTGAGCTGTGATCCAGCTGCACTCGCAGAGCTGGAGCTACCGAGAGGCAGATTTCACTGTGCCAGCAGCAGGTGAGCAAATGCATGGTGAAACCTCATCACTCCAACCAGCTCTGAGAAGTCTGAGCTCTCCAAGTGCCCCAATAACACCTGGAAAGCAACTACTTCATACTCTGATTCTTGCTGTTTGCATCTTACTGACAGTACCCCAGGAGGCAGTGACCTGCTGAGCGTCCCCCACCTCTCAGCACCCTGCAGACCGACAGCCAGGCCCCAGACTACACCATACAACCTCTCTACACCCCGTCTACACCCCCACCTCACCATACAATCTCTCTATACCCTGTCTACAGCTGCTTGCCACTGGGAGCCCTCACACATAGGCCTGGACCCTCCCCACCTGCCCCAAAAGAGTCACTGAGCCCAAGCCCCTCCTCATTCAGGAGGGCAGAGCCCAATTAAAGGGGTTCCCACTGCACCTCAGGGGGTCCCCAACAGGATCCATCGCAAGGCCCCTCTAACCCTTCAGGTCTCCATATCTATCACCCCTTCAGGACACCCCACGTCTCTTCCGGGTCCCCCAAGACCTGCACACCGAGGGGTGTTCCATACCTGCAACCTCCAGAGCCCCCCCTCAGTTCTCTCTCATCTTCCAGAGCTCTCTCACCCCTCAAGTCGTCCCCCCCATCCACAGACCCCCAATACCTCTGCAGGGTTCACCCCCAGAATGACATACAAGACCGCTCTCTCCTTAATACCCCAGGACCCCCCCCAGTCAATGCCCCCCCTTATTTGCACCTCTCCAGCCCTCTCATAGCCCCGGCACTCCCCCCCCAAGCCCCTCACCACACAGACCCCCGCCAGACCCTTTTTCTCCTGCCCCCCCACACTCCAGGCACCCCATATCCCACTGAGCCCCCGACACCTCCACCCCCAGTCCCGGAAACCCCCCATTTTCCGCGTTCCCCCCCGCCCCGGGGCCTCCGGTTCCCCCCCTCCGGCACCGCCCGGGCCCCTCGCTGCCTCCAGCAGCCCCGCCCACTTGGGGCGGGGCTTGCCCCATCGCGGCGCCCCCTCAGCCGCTATTGGCTGCGGCGCCCCTCACTCCAGGCCTGGCAGCGAGCCGATTGGCTGGAAGGCGCTGTCAATCAACGAAGGGGAAGGGCAAGGCAGAGAGGCCGCCTCACCAAAACTCGGGGAGAGTTGTGGGGGGGAAGGGCCGGCCGGGGCTCCTCCACCGGCCCCCGGGGGCTCCACCGCCGCCGCCATCCCCGTCCCGTGGCGGCCCCACCGAGCCCAGTGCCCCGCCGGTTACCTGAGGGAGCGCCGGGCCGGGCCGCGCCGCCGCCGGGGCCTCGCGCTGCCTGCCTCTTCGCGCTGGGGCCCCCCCTCCTCACCGCCCCTCCCCACAGAGCGAGACTCTCGCGAGACCAGAGGGGAGGTGACAGTGCCGGACCAATGAGGGGGCTTCAGGGGCGGAGCCTCGCTGCAAAGGGGCGGGGCTTCATCGCGAAGGGGCGGAGCTAGCCACGCCTCCGAGAGAAGGGACCCGCCTTGCAGCGGGGACAGCGAGACGGGGCCACCCCGGTACCGGGACACCGGAACCCCAGGGCCCGGCTGAGGTGTCCCCCAGCGGGTGGTGCCCCGGGAGGGACGAGGGGAGGTGACAGCCCAGGCCGCAGCCCCAGCAGCTCCCCACTGCCCCTGGGGGTCAATGATGTCCCTGTCCCCTTGGGGCTCAGGGTGGCTGCAGGCACTTTGTGTGCCCTCTGGGGACACTGCCACCTCCCCACAGCGCGGTCTCCCCATGCCAACCATGGCCAAGTGACACAGGAGGCACCAAAGAGACACAAGGAGCTGGGTCCTGTTATCAAACCGTCTTTATTCCCCTCCCACCTGCGGTAAGGCCAGGCTCGGGGGTCTCCCCTGCCAGGGCACCGGGCACAGCGGGGCTCTGTCACTGTCACCGTCACCATCTCCATCACATGGCAAAGAGGATAAGGAAGGCCACCATGAGGCAGAAGAGCCCCATGGCCTCGGAGAGGGCGAAGCCCAAGATGGCATAGGAGAAGAGCTGCTGTTTGAGCGAGGGGTTCCTGTGGGGAGAGGAGAGGCGGCTCAGCAGAGCACACCCAGCCCCGAGCCCCCCAGTCCCACCCTGGTGCCCCCCCCCGACCTTGCATAGCCAATGATGAGGCTACCGAAGACAGTGCCGATGCCAGCGCCGGAACCGGCCACCCCCACTGTGGCAGCGCCGGCACCGATGAACTTGGCAGCCGTGTCAATGTCCCGGTGGGCTGCACTCGTCTGGATGGCCCGGGCCCGGTGGGTGCCCGCCAGTGCCTGCGGATGTGACAGGAGGGTGGGCAAGCAGATGAGGGGGGGATTAACCTCACCCCAGCCTCAGTTTCCTCCCCGCACCCCTCCCAAGGCCTGTGCTCAGCACCCCTGTGGCTCCCCACTGTCCCCCAGTCCAAGCTGACCACGTTACCTGCTCCGTCCGGGCCTCGGGGCTGCTCAGCACAGAGGCAGAGAGGGGCTGGCACAGCACCCGCGGGCTCCTCCTCACCTGCAAGGCACATTCAGCCTCAGATTGGGGTGGGATGTCCCAACCCATCCTCCCCAGCACCCAAGAGTCCCCTGAGGCCACTGCTGTCACCTCTGGTGTCGTCCCCCCCCATATGCTCAGCCCCATGAGCCAGCAGCACCCAGATGGGAAAGCCTGAACTGGCACCCACAACCACAGCGGGTGGATGGGTCCTGTGTGCCACTGGGGCCAGCACCCAAAGGTGCTTAAACTCCCAGCACCGCATCCACCTCCATGGGGGTAATTAACCCTGGAGTGATGACAAATGATCTTCAACCAGAGTGCGGCTCCATTCACCTTCCAGGGTGGCCCTAAAGCAGCAGGAAGTGTCCCCAAACCTCAGCCCCTGTCCCTAAGGGGGTCATACATCACCCCCCCCCACCCCCAAAGAACGGAGAGGGAAGGGGGGTTTGTCACTACTCACTAGTGCAGGAGTGCAGAGGAACTTTGCACAGGCGGACATGGTGAGGGACGGAGGGACACGGGTGTGGAGGGCACGGCTGGAAGAGACACAGGCATGGGGTACACAGGACGTGGCCTCATGGGTGCTGGGGACAGGCAGGGGGCATGGAGACCCGTGGGACAGGAGCCATGCAGGGCAAGACATGCCTTGGTCACCCAAGTGACAGCTCCCGGCTCAGCACCATCACTTTGGGGTACAGGGATTTGGGGTTCGGGGGGGGAAACAGGAGGCCCCTGGTTCCCATCTGAGGCAGAGAATGGTGCAGCCTGAGGCACTCAATGGGTGGTGGGGGGGGAATGGCCTGGGGAGACCCCCAGCCCTTGCAGGGCACATGGGGGCTGGAGAGGACAGAGCATGGGAGGGGGCACAGCCCAGCGTGGAGGGAGGTCACCCCAAAAGGCAGAATGAGGGAATGGGAACCCCAAAACAGGGGCGAGGTTAAAACAGGGGGTGGCCATCCTAAAGGAGGGGGCACCTCAAAACAGGGGGTGCTCACTCCGAAACAGGAGGTTGTCAACCCAAAACGAGGAAGGAAGATTAAAATAGAGGGTTGTCACCCCAAAACATGGGGCGACACTCCAGAAGAGAAGATCACCCCAAAACGGGGGATTCTCACACCAAAACAGGGGGTTGTCAACCCCAAACGAGGGAGGAAGACTAAAACAGGGGGTTTTCACCCCAAAACAGGAGGGGCGCTCCAGAAAAGAAGGAGATCATCCCAAAACAGGCGTTTTTTACACCAAAACAGCGACTACTCACCCAAAATGGGGGGTGCACCCTAAGAAAGGGCCAGGTCACCTCAGAACACGGGGTTATCACCCCAAACCGGGAGCATTCCAACCCAGGGGTGCTCACCCCAAACCAGGCCCGACCCTGCTCGGGGCGCTCACCTCAAAGCAGTGCGTGAGGGGATGCCCCAGCCCCAACCAGCTCCCCATGGCGAGGGTTGGCTGAGCCCTGTCCCCCCACACCATAACGCCCGGGGGGCGGGTCTCCATCCCCGTCCCCACCCGCGGGTCCCCTCTCCCCCTGTCCCCACCGAGGGGCTCCCCCCGCTGCCGCCCCGGGCCCGGCGGCGGCTCTCACCTGGCGCACCGGCGGCGGGCAGGTCGCGGAGGCAGCGAGTGCACAGGCGCAACCGGAAACGCTACCCGGAAGTATCACTGAGAAAGCCGCTCAGAGCGCTGCGCAGCGCCGCCTGTCGGACGGGAGGTGGCGGAGACCCGGGGCTGTGCGCCTTCTGCTGGGAGGCGGGGGGATAGCTCCGAGTGGAGCGGGGTGGAGGGGGGTGTTACGCACCGTGCCCTCTGGCGGCCAGAAGGGGCACTGCAGTCTGTATTGTAGGGGCACATGTGTACATGTATGTGTGTGTGCATGTATGTATCTGTGTGTGCATGTATGTATATGTTTGTACACGAGTGTGTGCTCACACGTGTTTACATTGTGTGCACGTGTGTACACGTGTGCATGCTAGTGTGTGTATATGCCTGGACGTGTGTCCATGTGTGTACATGTGACACGTGTGCATTCCCACATGCGTGTGCCTGTTGCACAGACGTGTGCACAGTGGCATGTGCGTGGCTGTGACCCCTGTGCTTGCACGTGAGAGTGTCTGCACATGCGTGTGCAAGAAGCATGCGTGTGAAGCTGAGGGGGGCACCGTGTCACCCCAGGGTGCTGGGGGCACCCCCGATGGGTGCTGGAGCCCCGGGGAACCTCCCCTTACAGACGGGGGGGGGGGCGTTGTGACCGGGTGGGTGCGGGGCTGCGTTGTCAGGCAGGGGATTTACGAGCAGCCCTAATGCGGGAGCTGCCATTAATTAAATCATGGCGATAATTAACTTTCATTAAAGGAAAATCAATAACGAGGAGACGGGGCTGAAATGGGGGGAGGGGGGACGGGAAACGGGACCGAGGGGCACACGTGCACATGGATGTGAATGTATGTGCACTGTTGTGTGTGCACCCACATGGATGCGGGTTGTACACGCACATGGCTTTGAGCACGCCTGTGTGCATGTGTGTGCACAAGTGTGTGTGCATGTGTGTGTACATGTGTGTGTACGTGTGTGCATGGGGTGCACACAGCTGTGAGCACACCTGTGTGCATGTGTGTGCACGCACATCAAGATGCATGTGTGTACATGCGTGTGTACATGTGTGTGTACATGTATGTGTACATGTGTGTGTACATGTGTCTGTGAGCACGTGTGTGCATGTGTGTGTACATGTGTGTGTACATGTCTGCATGGGGTGCACACAGCTGTGAGCACACCTGTGTGCATGTGTGTGCACGCACATCAAGATGCGTGTACATGTGTGTGTACATGTATGTGTACATGTGTGTGTACGTGTGTGCACAGAGGTGCACATGTCTGTGAGCATGACTGTGCATGTGTGTGCACGCACATTAGGATGCGTGTGTGTGTATGTGTGCGCACATGTGTGTGCACATATGTGTACATGTGTGTGTACATAGTGGTGCACACAGCAGTGAGCACTCCTGTGTGCATGTACATGCACGCACATTGGGATGCGTGCGTGTGCATGTGTGTGCACATGTGTGTGAAGGGGGTTGCACATGGCTGTGAGCACTCCTGTACGTGTGCACTTAGGGTGTACACACAGGCTTTACACAGCCACACACGCGTGTGCACCTGTGCAAGGCACATACCCGCACCCCTCAACCTGCCCCCGTCACCCCAACCCCCTTTTACCCCCTTAAACTGCCCCCGCTCCCCCTCAAACCTCGACACCCCCCCCGTTTCCTCCCCCTTCTCCTTTATTTTTCCTCCTTTCCCCACTTTTTATTCCTTTATTCCCTGATGGAAGCGGCGGCTCCGTTCGCTGCAACTGACCTTAACGGCTTAAATTAAAAAGCAATGTTCTGTGTGCGCGGAGATGGGGGGGGGAGCATCCGGGGGGGGGGGGGAGGGGGGGGAGCACCCGCTCACCCCCCCCTTCTCCTCCTCACCCCCCGCATGGGCTCTGATGGTTTTAATCTCACCGTAATGGCTTTGACCTTGCGATTAATAGCGGGGGGTGCGAAGCTGCCGCGGCGTAACAGCGGCCGCGGTTCCGAGGGGGGGGGATAGGGGGTTTTGGGCGGGGGGGGTTCGGGGTGTCCCATTTTGGAGGGGGGGGTTGGATGCGAGGGGGGAGTGCGGGAGGAGTGGGGAATGGGGGGGGATTGGGGGATGCTGAGGATTGAAAGGGGGGGATGAATGGGGAGGTGATGGAGGAGGGGTTGGGGGGGTGATGGGGAATTTCAAGGGGGACACACGCGTGTGAATGGCGGGGGGGGGGGGTGTCTCTGGGGTCCGGGTGGCTGCTGTGGGGTGAGCCGGTGGGGAAACGGGGTGAAGGGAGGATGGGGGGGCAGTGGAGCAGATGGGGGCTCACGAGGGGGTTCAGGGGGCTGGGGCGGGCGGGGATGGGGGGGCAAAGGGGAACGGGTGCCCCTGAGCGGGGGTTACGGGTCCCTGTTCTCGTCCCCATCCCTGTGCCCGCTCCCGGTCCCCGTCTTCGATCCCGATCCCGGGGCTGGCGCAGTCGCCGCCCGCGCTGCATCCTAATGAGGCGGCGGCGGGAGCGGGACCAGCCGCGAAGAGACCCCGAAACACCGGGATGGGGATTGGGATGGGAACCGGGATAGGAGCCGGGATGGGGACCGGGATGGGAGCCGGGATGGGGACCGGGATGGGGACCGGGATGGGGACAGGGATTGGGACCGGGATGGGACTGGGATGGGACCGGGATGGGGAACGGCTGCCCCGACGGACCCCCCGGGGCCGGAGGTAGAAGGGTGGGTAGGACCCGGGGGGCACAACCGCGCACCCCCCTGCGTGTGAGCACCGGGCCCGGCCCCCCTGCACAGCTGGATCATGGGGTCCACAGCTGGATCCCAGCGATCACGGGGGTCAGTTTTACCCCCACAACTGGATCCTGAGGGGCTCTATCACATCCACAGCTGGATTATGAGGGTCACCATTGCACCCACAACTGGACAGTGGCAGCCAGGACCCCCAGGGTGGCAACCAGGACCTCCATAGTGGCAATCAGGACCTCTACTGTGGCAGCCAGGATGCCAAGGTGACAACCAGGACCCCAGGCTTGGCAACCAGAACCCCAAGGTAGCAGTCGGGTCCCCCAGGATGGCAACCAGGACCCCTGGGTTGGGAACCAGGACCCGTAGGGTGGCCCCCCACGACCCTTGGGTGTCAGTGGGACCCTTGGGTGCCTCAGCCCCACACAGAGGGTGCTGCGGTGGCCACGGGGAAGCGCTGGCGGCCATGCGGTGCCATTGCACACCTCCGTGTGAAATACAGCTCCATAAATCCCGGCCCTGGTGGCTCTTATTGCTTAATTAGTCCATGAAACGAGATGATTCAGAAGAGCCCAAATGGGGATGGCGTCATGGGAGGCATTAAATGGAAGGGGATCGGCGGCGAGTGAGAAAAAACAGGGGTGGAGGGGGGAGTTTTGGGGGGGATTCAGGGATTTTTTGGCCTCCCCGGTGATGCTACACTTCAATTTATCCACTGGGATTTTGGGTGCTGAGCAACCCATGCTGCAATAGCACCCTTAACCCACCATTGTGCCCCCAGACCCTCTCATCCGAAACATGGGGTGTAATTTGGGGGTGTAAGGGGTTTGGGTATCCCATCCTCCCAACCCACACTGATGGGAAGGGGGTACCCAAACATCCCTCAGCACCTTCGGATGCTTCGTGCTCCGCGCCAAATCCTCCACTTCCATGGGGTCTTTTCCTCTTTTCTATTTTTCCTTTTTATATGCTCTTTTATGACAAACTTTCCTTTACATTTGACATTTAAAAGCTGATCAGATCTCCCCTGCAGGACAGCAGGAAATGGAGATATTTATTGGGGTCTCGCTGATGCCAGGAGAGCTGCGAGATTTACTCCGACAGCGCGGCAGGATTAGCGATACCGTCTCTGTCCGGGCGGGATGCTGGAGCCATGGGATGCGCCACAGGCAAAGGACAACGATTTATGCGGGGCTTGGGGCTTGCTTTAGAAGACAAGGGTTGGTAGA